GAGGGTTGCTACTTACTGGCTTGCTTCCCAGGCTTGCTCAGCCTGCATTCTTATAGAACCCAGCACCAACAGCCCACGATGGCACCACCCACCATGGGCTGGACCCTTCCCCATTGACCACTAATTGAGAAAATGCCTTACAGCAGGATCTCATGGAAGCATTTCCTCAGCTGATTTCCCCTCGGATGCTCCTAGCTTGTGTCAGGTTGTTACACAAAACCAGCCAGTACAACGTCCTTATTACACGATTCCTTCTGAATTGAAGCACTCCCTCCTGGGGAGAGAAGGGAGGCTGCATTCCCTCCCAGAGACAGAAGAGAGGCTGGGGCTCTAGAGACCTGGGGAGTAAACAAACCTTTCAAGCCTGGAGAGCTGAAACTTCCAGAGTCACAAGTTATGGAGGCGGTGAACCATCCCTCCCTTGGGAGAGCTGCTGACAAGCTCAGCTGCCTGGAGGAGTCTCCCATCTGTCTCCAAGTGTGGCCGAATCCCTGGGGTTACAGCAGTAGTGCCATGGTCTCCCAGGGGTGGGGCAGGGATGGGCTTCGCAGAGATCCGCTGCCTTTGAGTTGTACATGCTCCTGTACAACCCGTTACCAATCACCCGTACTCCCATAAATAGCCAGTAGACTCACAGGTTCATCGAGCTGGACTTGGGTGGACTTGTAGTAATTTTGGTCATTGTGACTTTGGTCACTGGCTTCCTATTTGGGGTGAGTAGACATTTGTCTCTTTTCTCTCCAGGAACAGGAGAGCTATTTCAATTAAGGGCACAGACACCAAGCAAGAGTGTCACACTGTGAGAATAGAGATGCATGGGATACACTTTGGAATAACTGTTGGGGGATGGGAGTAGGGCATGGTGGTAAAAAGGAAGAAGGCCGAGAATCCCTACAGGGGCAGGAATGGGTACAGGGCATGAACTTGCTTCCCCTGGATCCCAGACAGGCTCCCTGCCTATTACCATCATGGTCTCAGATAGGCCGCTGCCCTCACCCAGACAGTGAGGCTCAGGGAAGGGTTGGGGCAAACCCTGCTCTTCAGGAGGGAGGCTGAGAGGAGCAGCTGCCTTTGGAGGGAGGGAGCTATGCTTTGCATATGTCCAAGGCCAGCCAGCATATCTAGCAAGGAGGCTCTGTGGTGGCACCTTTCCCTCAGGACAGGGTTAGAGATGCTCTGGGGTCTGAGACTGTCCCATCCCCACAGAGACCACCCCATTACAGCAGCCTTCTTTGCATTACCCAGGCACACTCCACAGCAGTGGCTGGGTCTGTGTCATGTGTCTTCAGGACACCCCTCTTGGTCTCCTAAGCTAAAAGGGAAGCCTCTGTGCCTCCCCACCTGTGACCCATGGAAGGAGCATCTGTCTGTAAAGAAGCGGTGCCTAGGAGGCCCGTTGGTAGCAGGACACAGAAGCCTAAAGATAAAATCTTAGTTGGCACAGCTGCGGGGGAGATTGAAGGCAGGGGGGAGGGGCCCTCAGAGACAGTTAACTCTTGTGATTGCAAACTGTACTCCACAGCTTGCCTGCCTGCCCACAACAGGGATGGAGGAGCACGTCACTCATCAGTGTAAGTTTCGGTTGTCTGTGTGGTGACTGGGGAGTGGGTGGGGAAGTCTGCATTGCACATGTGAACCCATGTTAAACACTGCTCCACATGTGGCTGGGGGCAGAGGTTCTCCTTAGAAACCCTCCGTTTTTACACAGGAAGAAACTGGGGTCAGTGGAGAGTCATCCAAATGTTGCCCAACAAGTTACCTGTGGGCTGAGGTGTCTGCAGAATGCTGTGGATAAGTCAAAGGTGGACCACCACCCCCCCCACCCTGCTTGCCACCTTCAGCACATGCAATCAACTCCCTACAGCTGGGGTTTGTTATTTTTAAAAGAATATTTAAAACTACCAGACTCCTTGCACCTGTGTCATTTCACACTATCAACTCCTATCTTTCCTCCTGCAAACACCCTTTGCCAGACCTCCAGGCCCTGGGTTTGGAGACAGGGGTGGGTGGGGTGACCTTGTTTATCCAAGGTGGCCCAGGTAGTGAGAACAGCTGTAGATTCAGACAGCCAGGCCTCTAACCAGGTTCTCTCCATTACACCACCCTGCCCACCTCTAAATCCAGAGCTATTCCCAACTAGCTATTGTTGAAATGGGAGGAGGGTTAAGCAAGTACTTGCTTTCCCCTGGTGTGTTCCAGGCTGGGTACCACTGACCCAACCGCTCTTCTGTGGCTTGATGATGCACTGTTGTGGGGGATGCTGCAGTCTGTTTGACTTGACACACGTACGAGTGAATCTCATCAATAAGCCTGTAAGCTTTCCCAGTGCTATCAGCACGTGTGGAGTGTGGCTTTGTGTGTCACGAAGGCAGCTATTATGTGGGGAACGGATGCAGGGTTAGTGCTGCTATTATTAGATTACTTTTCTTTAGAGACAGGAGGCAGCCACGGGAGAAGTGAGGACCAGAGCCTAGTTAGCCTAGACCATTCTTTGGGAGACAACAATCATGGGCAGCCATGAGCTGTAAAACAGACAGGATGATACTTACTCATACACCAGACTGGTGCAGTGGCTCAGCGGGCAGAGGCACTTCCCGCCAAGCCTGGCTTCCACAAGTCCTCTCCCCTCCCAATGCACAGCGCAATGTTGTATGTGTGTGACTGTGAATACACACATGCATATTAAATACATGGATGTGATTAAAATGTTCAAATGTATAGCAATGATTATGCATTTTACAACATTAATAAGCATAAAAATATGGAAATGAATGTAAATGAAGATAAGGTTTTATATATTCAGAAATGCCATCTGGACTTCCATTTTACTTACATGTACAGATATATACTAGACAGTGAAGGTTCTGTGAAATAAATGAGGCACAGCATTTTAATTATGTATGCACAACATGAACCATAGCAGGACCCCAATCAGAAGCTGACTCTTCAACATCTGTCAAAGCCACTTGTGGCAAGCAAAGAACCCAGAGTGGCTTTTGCCAGTCTGGCAGGTTTTCCTATTGTCTACGATTCTACATTCACCAGGGGCATTAGGTCAAAGTCACTGGTGACCTAATGAGACTAATCTCAAAAGTAAGTGTGGGGTGGGTGCAATGGGCATGCATGGCAGTTTGAATATATCAGACCCCATAATCTCATAGAGAGTGGCACTATTTCATGGAGTAGGTGTGGCCCTGTTGGTAGAAGTGTGTCACTGTGGGGAGTGGGCTTTGAGGTTTCCTATGCTTAAGACACCTGTTGCCTTCTGATCAAGATGTAACTGGCACCATGTCTGCCTATGCCATCATTCTCCCCATCATGACGACAATGGACTGAACCTCTGAAACTGTAAGCAAGCCTCAATGAAAAGTTTTCCTTGTAAGAGTTGCCATGGTCATGGTAAGTCTTCACAGCAATAGAAACCCAAACGAAGACATCCCATAAATGTGGAAGGAGGGAACTGACTCCACAAATTTGTCTTTTGTGCTGCCCCATAACACACACACACACACACACACACACACACACACACACACACACACAGAGTAAGTGTGGGAGGTACTGTGCTCTGAGTATCTGGCTTACTTTTCTTCTTGCAATAACAGGAGATATTTATAGCTTTGGAAACACTTTAATTATTAATGAAAAATTCTGCTGTCATTGTGAGTTAAAAAAAAAAAAAACCCTCCTTGGCCTTTAATATACTTTCCCCCTGTTGAGATAACTTTTGTTAATGTGTTTGAGGCATGGTCTCTGAGGAGCTGAACTGATAAAATACAGAACAGGCTTATTCTCAAATCTCCCTCTTTTTACACATACATGTGTACTTCATGTATGTACCTGTTTGTACACAAATACATATAAATACATATGTGTAATTTAAAAAAATAAAAGGACATACATACAACCTTTTATATTTTGTATTCTTTACTCATTAGTATAAGTATTTCCTGGCACTTTAAATACTCCTTAAAATGATTTTTAAACATTCCATTATTGGCTACCATATGCACAATTTATGTACTTCCCTAGTCAGAATTTCAAGCTATTTCCAACATTTTTGTACAGTACAAAGCTGCAATAAACAACACAGCTCAGGGCTCTAAACATACCCATTTTCATAATGAGTTTGAGAGCTAGAATGAACTTGCTGAGGTTTTTCATGAACACGATCTAGAGCTCATATAAATCCTCAAGACGGTGCCTGGCACACAGCAGGCATCTAATAGCCAGGAGCTATAAATAGGAAATCAAGTAGCCAGGAGAACACATGAATCGGGCCCCAGCGGGGGGCCAGTGAAGGAGCAGGCCACCTCAGCAGGCACGAGGCAGATGGGAGGCCTGGGCTAAGGAGCAGGACACAGGGAGGGGGTGCGTGTCTCCAGCAGCAGTGGTTCTGTCCTTAGAAGCAAACACAGTAATACCACCTCACTGCCACCCCCACGCAGGCCTTCCTGTTGGTCCTTTTAGGCCCTCTCATTGATATTGATTCCAGTCTTTATTCAGAGCCCCACGCCCCTGGAAACTCTGAGCAGAGAACAAATAACATGAGTCAAGTGTTCTCAAAGATCATTTATTAGCTAGTCTCACTTGTGGTGAGAGAAAATCAAAAGTCAATGAAACTGAAAGAAATTATAATGAGACCCTAACATTTCTTGCCTGAGGACATGAGCTGGACTGTACAACATGGCCTGTGGTGGCTTCATGTGGGCAGCTGACTTGCAGAGCCCAATACAAGTGCAAATAAAAAAACATGGTGCACTCTTCTGGAAGGGGTAGGGTCTGGCATGGCGCCACAGGAAAGTGTGGGTCTGTCTGTTTTTCATGTCAGCGACCACAGTGAGACCATAGGCCAGTCCTTTGCAAGCCCACCCAATTGCATTAGTGAACTGTTAGGCTGTTCCCTGGAGCGGACAATTCTAGTGCATGCCTCACAGAACACAGAACACAGAAATCTCTGTTCTTTGATGGTGGATTTGACTCCTTAGTACAGCCAGGTCACTGGGAGGAGGTGAATAGACCAGGGAAAATGGGTCCCTGGATATACTGGGGAGACAAGAGCTGTGAGTGCTTCGATAAGGGGATTATTATATGCTCCCTAGCTGGCCTTACCTAAAGAGATGCTGCTGCCCTTGAAGCCTGCACCAAGCAACAAGAACATCTGGAAAGGAGGTAAAAGCTTCCTTCCAGGAAAGGATGTGGGACTGTGGCATTCCTGCGGAGGCTGAAACTCTGGGCTACTTGTTAAAACCCTGACTCATTCGCTCAGTGCTCACTGGGAGCTACAGCAGCACCACTTGTCCCTTCTCACAAAAAGGAGCCGCCTATCTAAGTTCAACACTTATTTGGTCTAGCAAAAGCCAGTTCTTTAAGACGATTTGGACTCCATGTGGTCAAGGGAATCTTGTTCTTCTGTATGTTCCACTACCTCCTGGAAGACATTCGTGTCCATCCTTTAAGATGCCCTGAAGGGAAACAGCTTCAGCAGTGCTCAGCCAGGCTTCTTTGGATGGATGGCCACTGGGCAGGGACTAGCCAGTGGGGAACCTGCAGCACCTGGATCCCAAGGGCATCCTTGCAGAGTCACACTCTTTCTTCCCCACACCCGGGGAGCCCCGTGGGCATAGTGGGTGAGCTGGTGCCTAGTCCTCTGGGATAGGGGTGTTACAGTTCCCGTGGTAGATCTTGACGTGGCCCTCACAGTTAAAGTATGCCTGGAAGACATCGCTGTAGCCATGGTCCCTCCACCAGGTGCACAGCTGCCGGTTCCAGGTGCAGTCCAGCACATGGAAGAGCTCAGGGTGCTCCATGCCGATCATGGTGAAGAAGTCCTGGTCCCCAAGATGGCCCCGGAAGTGGTACTTGTCTGCAAGCTGCTGCACCCGTGCAGGCTCCAGCAGATGGCTGTAGAGTGGAGACTGGCGCATGGCCTCCAGGTTCAGCAGCATTACCCCACTGTTGAAGCCAGGGAGTCCCTCAGGCGGAGGGTCCCCAACTCTGGTCTTGGGGTTCTCATGACGGAACTGCCAGAATGTATGCCTGGGAAGGGGGAAAAACAGTGTTATCACAGGTCAGGGTGGATGAGCTTGCCAGACCTGCTTGCTAGTAGGCCTTCACAATGACCACCCCCCCTTGCTTCACAGAGGCTCTCTGGGGCTCAGCATCTGCATCCTATCCCCAGCAGGTTAACACCAAGAGCCTGAATCCAGCCCCATCCCAGCTCTAAGTCTCGGTTTCTTCTCATATCCTGCTGCCTCAGGGTGACCATGTTGATGAGGTCGTCATGGTCACTGCCATCATGTTAGGATCTGTAGAGGTGGCTTCTCCCCCAGGTGTTGTGCTCCGTCTGTGACATGATCCCTCACCACACAGCTAGGAAAACCCTGCCCAGGGAGACAGTGTAACTTGCCCAAAGTCACACGGCCAGTAAGAAGCAGAAGCAGAGACTAAAGCTAGGCCTTTGTCTCAAAGTGCACACCCTTCAGATGACAGCAGCTTGGTAGACATCCCCACCCTGTCATTATGGTCTTGAAGAGGAGGTGACACAAGGGGGAAGAGATGCTGAATGACAGTTGATGAAGTCATCGATAGCCAATTCAGACTGAACCAAACACACTTTCTGCTTTAAAACAAGCTTCATTCAGGACCGGAAGCCTAGTATTTCTGAGGGGCTGGGTAGGGTCTACGGTCTGGAGATACCTCTGGACATATATCTATAAGTCAGGGTGAAAACAGCTGTATGGAACCACGTGGGGCAATGGCATTTAGGAGGAATGCCACTTCGATTTTGGTCTTTTCTCTGACAGATTCAGAAAAATTACCCTTCTCAGCCTTTACTCAAATACTTCCATTTAGAGGTAGGAAGACACATCTGGAAATCTTCCTATGATTGACATGTTTAGAGCATTGGTCACTCGGCTTTCTAGCTTTTCTAAGATCTGTATGCTACAGCGATGGGAGCATGGGGTCCCCAAACCTGTACTGACAGGCAAGGCTCAGCAGCAGGGAGGGCCTGGTCCTCAGGGTGGGGAATGCATCATGGCCACACCAGCCTAGAGATGCATCACACTGTTCACAGGCAGGGTGTGTAAGTTGTTGTCAAAAGCAAACCAGAGCTCCAGCATGCAAGGTCCATTGTCTGGTTCTAACACACGACTCCAGTACAGGATAGACAAGCCTTCTCCGTGGTCTCACATGTCAGAAAGGCGGCCGACAGTTTGATCTTGGCAAGGGAAAAGCACTCCCTTGGGACACCAACCAGCAGAGCACACAGGCTCATTGTTAGGTCTGGTCAGGAAGGGCTGTAAGACGAGTGGGGATCTGGTTCTGACCCGGCGCCTGCCTGCTGATAACAACTTTGGTGAAGGTAAGCTTTGAGAGCAAGCTGAGGTGCTGAGGTCCCCTGGCCACAGAGCTACCATGATGGGGTCCCAGCATGTCAACACTTCATCATTTTACCCTACCACCAAGTGGTTAATCCCAGGGTCGGGTTACAAGCTAACTACAATTCTACTAGATAGACCTGGGTCGCCACAGGCAGAGGAGGGACCCTCCAGTGAGTGGATGCTGCGCCATCCTGGTACTGGGTTCCTCTGGCACTGTTGGGACAGGGACATTTAGTAAGGAGGAAGAGAGAGCCAGGAACGAGGGAAGACAGTTATGGAGGGCAACTCATCTCTGTCTCCTGCCCACTGCTGTCCCATTTAGGCCTCCCAGGTGACAGGACCTTGGGCAGGGTGAAGTGACCAAGATAGGCCCATGAAAAGGTAAGAGTGAGTCTGCAGCCTTTGGTGTTGGTGGCAGCAGGGAGCAGGGCACACTAGGGACACTGAATCACCACACCGAGCACCGCGTCCACCACAGACACGGGCTCAGATGCCCTGAAAGGGTTTTACTCTTCAGTGAGGAGTTCACAGCTGGGATTCAGGGGGATACTCTTCCTCGGGAGCTCCCCAGATCTTCCCTCTCTGTATCAAGAGTAGCCAAAAGGTGGTACGGCTCCTGTCTTGAGGCTTGGGAGAGGAGACAGAACATCCCCAGGTGGAAGCTATAACAGGTAGTTCCCTAGGACCTGGATGGCCAGCACTGTACCCGGCACCATACAGAGGCACACACTCTGTGACCAAGAGCCAGGGTGGGGTCAGCACATTGTGACATATCGTAGGGGCAAGGAATTGGAAATAGAAGTTCCCGCTGTGTCTGCTGAAGCAGAATCAGCCTGAAAAGGAACTGATACCTCCCTAAACACAACGTGACCTGTGTGCCTTGTCAGAGTGCTCCCACTGTCCCAGGTAAACCCAGGACCCAGAGCACACTGGGGTTGGCGGTTTCTCTGGCTTCCATGGCAGCCACACAGGCTGGAGAGAGACCCTACAGGGATGTGGCAGGGAGTGCTCACACGGGAGCTGCTGGCGCCAGCTCTCTTCTTCGGCCTCAAAGGCAGGGTTAGGATGATTGCACAGCCCTCTCACATTCTCCCAGGAACACTGTGGCCTTTGGTCAGCTAGGCAGGGCTTCTGATCTTTGTGGTGCCTTTATCTCTGACTGCCTCAGATTCCACAGGCTAATGTTCCAATGAGCAGCAGCTGAATTCCAAACTCATTTCTGAACTTGGCCGACAAACTCAAGGCCCAGGGCCCGGGGACCAGGCCTTCAGGACATAGAGCACTGCTGTCATGTTACTGGCTCAGGGGGCAGACCTAAGAACCACCCTGAATCAGGTCAGTATATACCCCCGAACCTGCCATTTCCTCACAGGGGCAGGGGGCTGTCTAGGTCCACGGATCTCCTGTATGAATGCAGGCATGTGGTTGGGTGTCCTGATCTTCCAGAAGGTTCTTGGATAGACTGTCCATTCTCACACCTATCACTCTTCCCTGTGGCCCTGTTCCATCCCCATGATCACCCAGAACCATAACAGCACAGATAAGGTTTCTCCTTCTCTTTGGAAATAGTTTTCAACTAGGAAACAAGCCTTGCACAGATGGTTCACTGGGAAACAATGAATCTTCCAGAAGTCAGAGAGGCCTGCTGGGAAAATACAAATGAACCCACTTGAAGCCCTTTCTTCTGGATGGTACATTCCTGGAAGGGGCTGGGTAGCCAAAAGGCAAGACCGTGCATGGGGCAAAGAAGAAAAGGAATGAGGGGGGAGGCACATGCCTGACCTTGCTTGGAGGCCCTTGTAGGAAATGTAGCTTTGGGTGTAAACACCAGCTTGGTCTGCAGGCCAGTAACTGAGCACGGGCTAGGCAGAGCCCTCGGCTTCTCAGCCTAAGGACCCTGGGTAGAGGTGGGCCAGTCCTCAGTGGTGGAACCGGGCTGCCTGACAGGAGAGGAGGGGACTCCAGCAGAACAGAGACCCGGCACAGTCTGTAAGAGACAAACTTCAGAGCTCAAGAATTCTTGAGGCCCTCCTTTTCTGGAGCTGTAAGTCCTGGCCTTCTCCTGCCTACTCCCCCAAAGGAACAGCCTCTACTGAGCCCCTCTGGACAGCATGTTCTGTAGAGTCATGGTCTCTGTGCCCCTGGCCCAGCCTAGAAAGATAGGAAAAGCTTCCAGGGTCACTGAGCTATTTGTAATAGAACCCAAGAGAGCCCTACAGAAGAGGGGTTTTGGGGAGAAGGCAGGGGAAGGGGAGGTGTTTGTTGAGGGAGTAGCTAATGCATACCTCATGAAATAGGTAAGACCACCATCCATCCATACCCCAGGGGACAGAGCTGACCACAGACAGCCTAAGGGTTGGTGTGGCTTTGAACTCTGCCTCACTGAGGCCTTCAGCTTGGGAGGGAGGGCCATGCAGGGCACCAGGGTACTGTTGTTACAAGAACGAAGCTTTCTAGAGACCCACTCTGCCACCACCAGCAAAGCAGGCCTTTCACAATTCCCTCCATGTCCCTGAGCTCTGGAATTTTCAGCTGACTTGGTCCTCCTAGAAGAAAGAAGCAAAACCAGTCAGCCTACCCAACAGAAACCCGCCTGCTATGACTAGGGGCTAGCTGTCCAGGAGGATGGCACAGAGCTGTCCATTTCTGCAGGCTATAAGGAGGAAGTTGCTCCATGCTGCCCTGGTTTCTGAGGGTGTCTTCAGCCCAACACTAACCTCCACCTGCAGGGGTGATTCTCTCAGTGCAGGTACCCCCCCTCTCCTTTCCCCTGGATAAGGGGTAACCCTATACCATGACTCCTTTACCAACTTTCATCTGTAATGTCTCCCTCCCAAGAAAGGTGACATTCAGCGGTGCTAAGAGTTAGAACCTTAGCAAATGGAGTTGGGTGAGGATACAATTCCACCCGTAATTCTGTAGAAATGAAGATGGGGGAAACCATCAGGGCCCATCTTCATTCACTTCACTCTTAATTTCACCATTCACAGGCTCAAAACATGGAGTGATAGGTTTCTAGAACTTCCAAGGTCCTTGATTTTGCTGCTCCTAATGGGCTGAGAAAATGTTCATGACAGGCTGGGGAGTCTTGACTTGGAGAGAGACAGAAGGCGGCTGTTGCCAGTGACTGGCAGTGAAAAATGGGAGCCCAGGAATATGAGTGTTGAGAGCTTGTAGGGAGTGGACCAAGCCGAGCTGGTGAAGTCCTGAGTGAATGTGAATTGCTGACATGGACACTACCATAGTGAAACTCTGACACTTCAGCCCCCACAGCGGCAAAGCCTTAACTGTGATAACAAAGCTTGCCTTGGGACCCAGTGCATATGAGTGACGGTGTGTGCAAAGCCTATCAACAGTCTTCCTCTAACACTAGCCATGCCCCCCACTTGTGCTGTGCCTAACAAACACACAGAGGTTCCAGGTTGCTGGTGGAGTAGCTGTGGCTCCACCAGAGTACATGTACCCCAGCAGATCCCAGCGTTCGTGTATATGTGTCTGCCCTTTCTTTCATTCCCTCGCTGCCCCTAGTCAGGGTCTGGGGACCTAAGCCTCATAGGACATGATAAGCAGCAGCATATGTCGGTCAGCGGGGAGATGCCCAAAGCCCCATTCTCACTGAGATACACCAGAAGACACCTGAGCTGAAGGCAGCAC